TTGCTTCGTACCTAATTTTTTTTTGGCATTAATACATCCTCAAATTTATTAGTGGCGGTAAGATTTGTGCCTTTATACATAATTAATTCTTTAAATATGTTTGCCTTTGTCAAGGTAGTACTGTGATATCATGTCGTAAATCGAGAATGTCCAAAATGCGAGGCAGCCATGTTGTTTCTTTAATAGGAGTTGGCTTCGTTTGTGATGTGGTGACAACATTTAGTATGTTAATGGTGCTAATCGATATTTGGAGAGCTAACGAAGAAACGATATGGATGAACGTAATTGCTTTAAGATAGATACCTCAGACTCTGGTGGTGTTATTTAATAAGAAGTCACGAGATCTATGGAGGAAATATTTAAAACGAAGACAATATAATCGATCAAATATTGTTCAAATGTAACATTCACAGTTTTAAAATTACGAAATCAGAAATTCTGAAGACGATTTGCAGATACCTATGTAGTTTTTTTAACCCGTAAAGCAATATTGCAGCAATAAACAACGTATGTTACTTGCTTCGTAAGATTAGACATAAGGAAATTTAAAAATATCATCAAGTTAACAGGAGTGAACAAACGCTTGAGACATTTAAGTCGCATCGTTACTAAATCTGCTATTAATGTGTTAATGTGCTATAATTAAAGACTGGTTGGTATATTAAAAATTTATAAAATAAATATATTTTTATGCAATATGAAATTATTGAAACGAATTCTTACCTATAATTTAAAACTCCCCCTAAAATAGCATACAATCATTTTTATTCAATATGCTGGATGATTTTTTCCGCCTGGAAAAAATAGGCTGTAATAATACTACTACTTGGGTGCGTATTATTTTAATATAATATTTATTTAGTTCAATAGTTTTGTATTTATTTATTTTTGTGCCGAAATTTCATTTCAAATTAGTGGCTTTTATTGATAGATCAATTTCATAATATGTTAATGTAAAAGCAAAATCATTGTAAAATATCGGTGCCATAGGCTTCTATTCCGTTTACCTGTTTCACACTATTTTTTCCATACGTAAAAAAGCATCCAGTATCTTACTGAAAGTTATTTAAGCTGGTTCGGAAAGTCTCCGTCCTGGGAATAACCAGCAATGAACCCCGAAAAACTGCGATTTCTAACTCGCTTTCCAAGTGAGACAGCTGTTGCAAATGTTTAGGCAGTGGACTCTTGTTAAGCTAAAGAAAGGAAGATAATATTTATATTTTTATTGGTACATTGGCTAATTAACAATATACTACAATGCTGAGTATATGCCAACTATATAAGCTACCATAATGGAAGCATGATTAGTGCATGGTATCAAGATCCATCTCATAATATTCAACATTTGTTAGTTTCGTTGATAATAATAATTTCAATAAGTGGAATTAAAAATAAACGGCTATTATTTGCAAACATGGCATAGTTTGTTGATCACTGTGAAGGTATTAAGTGTGATTCTGTGATGTTAAATTAAATTAAAAAAAAATGTCAGCGCGTTGCTTTCACTTTTTGCTCTGCTGCTCGGGTAGCAACTTGGTGTTTGACTCCACGACGATGAACTCTTCTCAATTTAGACAGTATAAGTCAGATTACAACAGAAACTTCTTATTAGCGCTTGGAGCATGTTGAAAATAGGGTTTGATCACAAAGTCAATGAAATCTTAATTGAGATGAATGGCTACTTATTTCTTACGTCGTTATGTCGGTCTCAGTGTGCATGAACTCTTACCTGAAGTTGGTGCTGATATATTCAAGGAAGGTAGGCTGCGTAAAAGAAAAAGTTACGATATATAGCCACGGTGTGCTTTTTATAACTAAGTCCGTAGTGGATTGTTTTCTTCCTAGTATATTTAGAGTAAGGGGACCACTGACCTCTATATACACAAAAGTACGCTGGAGTGGCTACACCATACAAAATGTCTGTGCCAATTTGAAGCACCCCTAACGGTCGTCTTGGATACTATTAGTGGCATAAAATCTGTATTTTGAACTTTTAAACTAAAAAACGAAAGTATTTTATGTTGTTTGATTGTGTATAATGTTAGTTACATAATAAGAATTACTTTTAGTAATAATGAGAGTGTGCGTAATCTGTAAAACTCGTTACCAAAAGGGAAGTGGTAGGTATAACATTTCACAAGTAAGTGAATTTGCAGTTAATATTAAACAAATTAAAACTATTTGATAATATAAATACTTAAAATTTTCTTACTAATCTTAGTATAATATATACCAACATGTTTGGCTGTATATTACTGAGTTTTGATAAACAATAAAATTCAATAGGGTTGTCGAGTTCCTTGTCTATAATACTTATCGATGTTTTTCCTACCCATATCTCTTAACAAACAAAGTCGCCAATAACAGATGATTATCAAATGTTTATGAATTAACGTTTTTCCAACTGAATCTAGACTAATGTTATGGCTTACAAGCATAAATATTGAAAATTGGCGTCCAAAACCAAATGATCATACTTGTTCTGAACATTTCACGGACGACTGTTTTATTAGACATGAAAACTGCACCACTTTGAAAAAGTGCAGTATTCCGACAATATTTTCTGCTAGTACCAGAACCAGTAAGTATAAAAGTATTAGATGATTATTTCGAATGTTTTTTTTTTACTTTTTCTTTCCTCATTTTTCCACAAACTCAAGGGTCATAGCCAAGTGTCGAAAGGTCACCTGTTAATGTTGAGGGACGTTTGAAGAGTGTTAGTGGGCTGCGGCTAGTGGAGATTCCTCTCTCAGTACCGCTGTAGTCGAGGTGGAGTCGTCAGAGAAAAGGAGTGTTGGTATGGCAATCGGCGATGCGCTCGCCCAGATGACAAAGGATCGCCACTCGACTATCCTTCACGACTTTGGTGAGGCTGCACCACCTGATGCTTGACTCGTTTTTTCCTGATGCAGGTGGAGTCAGAGGGAGTCAGAGGTAGAATACCATGGGGTTTTAGTAAATGCGAGTCTAGAGGTTCAATTCTATCTCGAGTCTCAAGATTTAACTTGTGCTTTCACTTCCTGGTGGCCCTACTTTAGTTTATTTCACGGTTTTTGGCAGCTTACTCTGGCGCAACATCTAGCGACAAAAGCAATTAAGTGTTAGATCACGAACCTATGGATTGCGATATGTCAAGCCCCCTAGAATACGTGGCACTGCCGAAGCTGGAAAGCTTAGGAGGATAAACTTAGGAATGAGGATATCGGCAGTAGAACCAGAGTGACCGACATCGCCCAACGGATTAGTTAGCTGAAGTGGCAATTGACCGGCCATATAGCTCAAAGTAGTGATAACCGATGGGGGAAAAAGGTTCTCGAGTGGCAGACTCGTACCGGCAGGTGAAGTGTCAGAAGTTCCCCAATTAGATGGAGTGAAAACCTGGTGAGACATACAGGAAGTTGTTGGATGCAGGTGACTTAGGACCGTGCTTTGTGGCATTCCTTGGGTGAGGCCTATGTTCAGCAGTGTACTTGTGAAGGGCTTTAATGATGGTGAATGATATTGGCATTATATTAATATGATACATAAATAGAATGGACGTTACGGGTAGAATCCATCTATCCATAGAGTCCATTCTATTTATTGAGGTATAGAATTTTTATTCGATATTTTGTCACACTGCCTTATCCCTATTATTAGTTCTGTAGACGTGCACTTCTGCTGTCAGCGCCAAAATGGTGCAAATCAAATTGCCTCATCATGTCACGGTTTATAGCCAGTCCAGCGTACTTGTACATATAGAGGTCAGTGAAGGGGACTTACATATTTAATTGCAGTTTGATTTATTCCTTTATGTGTGATAATGAACTTAAATCCCCTTTTTTAACTGAAAATTGAGCTTACTGTTGTCATCATCATCATTATCATCATTACAGACCTTCACACGTCCACTGATGAACATAGGCCTCCCCCAAGTAATGCCACAAAGCACGTTCCTGAGCCACCTGCATCTATCGACCTTCTGCATGTCTTACCAGGTCTTCACTCCATCTAGTGGGGGGTTGCCCTACGTGGTCCTTCACTGGCAACGCGCATTGGTTTTACAATCTAGTTTTCAGGTTTTGAAGTATACCTGAGGAGAAGATGTGTCGTAATTTCCCGAACGCTGCCCAGCCGTGTTCAATCCGTCGATTGACCTCTCGGTGGAAGTTGGACATACCTAGTCGGACTATTTGTCCCCGGTAAAAATCCTCGTCAAAAACTTCGAGCTTAATGCTCCCAACATCTATCGGCATAGGTGTGACATGGACATTAAACATGATCTTACTACTGCTTACTGTTATATTACTCCCCAGAACGAGGATGTCCAAAATACGAGGCGGGCATGTTGTTTCTTTAATTGGATTAGATTGGACAAGGTATTACAGTATAAATATTGACTGTAATAATATGTAGGTGGACAGCAGGGTGTAATGCTAGAAGCGACATCCGATGGGGAACAAATGACCTCGAGTAGCAACATTGTACCGTCGCTAAGCAAATTGTAAGACGGCGCTCTACTAGATGGAGTGAAGACCTTGTAAGACATGTAAGATTTAGTCGAAGTCTTTCGCGAATTATACCTAACCGTATTTTTTGTAGTTTGTCAAAATCAGTATCTCCAGGCTTCTTCTCTTCATTCTTGTCAAAGAAATGTAGAAACCGTTTTATTTCTTCGAACTTGTTGCGTGTCATCATTGAAGCCATTTTTTATACATGTTCCATCCTTCCAGTAATGCCATGCACTTGGCAGAATAACAACTGACATATACATCAGTATACCAATAAATATTCGGATGAGTGACTTCATTGTGGTTTACAGGGTAAATTTGAGTAGCATATATGTTACTTTCTTTTTTCACGAAGTTTATGGCTGACGACGGGGAAAGATATTTCAAAAATGCTATATGATAATTTAGTTCCACTATTTCTTGTGAAAGAATATAATAATAAATATAATAATATAATTCTGCATTTCATCATATTGAATGTCATCATCAGCCCAAACCAACTTATCATTCTTATTTTTTTGTTTTATGAAGTTGCTGCTCGTCGATGGTTGATTGCTTAACGCTTGCCTCAACATTACTACTTGAGATTGATTGAGATTCTTGATTACTTTCTGGTATTAAAACTTGTTGTAATGGTTTTGAGACTAAATATTCATAATCATCAGACATGTTTTCATCATCGCTACTATCCAGGATGATCGACGGTTTCATTTGAGTTTGATTTCGAAGTGTTCCTAAAATAAAAATAAAAAATACATTATTAACACGCACTGCAAATTTGGTTTTGTACTAGACTGCATATTGTTCCAAAATTGCACTTCACAAACAAAATCCTTACAGCATTGTGTTTCTTATTTGACCCATACCTTTGAGGACTAATTACGTAATACTGCAAATATTGTTACTTGCGTTTAATGCCGTAAAAATGTTGGGATCAATTGTTCTACACTATAAATAAAGCTATCATGTCTTTTTTTAAATACGGTGATCTACAATCTACCACAAAATGGCGGACTCGACTAATTTACCATCAAAGTACAGATACCATACGCACCTATAGCGGTGCCACCTGTACTATTTTTTGTTAAAAACATCCTTTGTAAGATAATTAGTGCAAAATCTAGCACAGAGTTGACGTTAGAGTCAGTTTTATAACGACAAATAACTCGTGTTCCAAATTTGTCACAGCATGCGGTAAAAATAAAAGCTTTTAAAAATCATAAACAGTCATGCCTCTAACCCACAGACGTCAGTGGAGAATACCGACTTCTATTTGGCACGATCCTGAAACTCCTTTCTCGCCTTTTTTACATATATATACCCACGCATACATGCTCGTCGGTTAAGGGTACTTTCAATCGGGCCCATCTTGAATGTTTCGTAAAATTGCTCGATAAACTTTCGTCTACGGCGTCCCTCGCGGACTCTGCCTCGAAAAATTTAATTAATATAATAGCCGTTACCAATTATTCATACAAAAATATGTATGGAATATTTTACATTGCAAGATAATTTCTAGGATTCCATGTTCAGGTTGGGAGTCGCTCTCAGTCAGTGTAATAATAGTAACACAGCAGCGTATTTCAGTATATAGCAATTAACCACCCACTAATTGGAAGAAGACCCACCAATTGGATGAAAGGTATAGTATTGAATCATTAATTTTTGTGAGAACGACAGCGGGGATATAGTTACCGTTGGCAATTAACTGGTTTCTGAGCATTCTGAGTGAATTTTTCTATTATTTGCTTAAAAAAAACATTAAATAATAAGAATAAAGATGTTTGTATTAAAAAAAGATTGATAAGCAAGGAAACAAAAGCTGTGGTCTGTGAAGAATAAAATTCAAATTTATTTGTATTAAAATAGAATTTAAAATGTTAAATATTTTCCGTGGGTGTTAATATTAAAATACTTAGTTTACTAATAAACTGACTCATTGCAATTAAATATTTTAAAAGTATTAAAATGTTTCTTTTACATATTTTTCCAGGAAGATTACTGATGGTACTAAGAAATGACTATCAAATACTCAAATATTGAAAATCACAATAAATCTGTACCAAAAAATATAACTAAACGCAATTACAAAGTCAAACGACAAAATTGGTTTTCATTATTTTTCTCTTTTATATATTTATATATTTTTAGTCTCGGAAAAACACGATGAAAAACGATATACTTCGTGAACACAAAATGTTGATTGACGTAAATAAGGATTTAGTTTCATATTTGTTATATGGGTTATTTCAACACTAATTCATGAAAAATATCTTATGAAATAATTTTATATTTATTTATTTCATTAATAAATAATAACTACAATAATAAGTAAGGTAATATTGAACTCGGGGTATTGATTGCTAATTTGAATTTTTGAATTTATATCTTTTTTATATTATAAATAAGAGTGACAAACGAACAGGCAGTCCACTTGACGGTAAGTGGATGCTGAGACCCATAGATATCAACTTCTATCCTCGGTTTAAATCAAAATGCAGATGCGTTGTTACACCTGAGGACTAAGGTGGAATTTTCGTTTCCAGTGAAATAGTGTCTTCGGTTCTCTACCCTCACTTTAAGAAACACAGCAGCTGCATTGAGCTGCTATTTTATGATAATACGCTGTAAGAGCGAAGTTCTACCTTACTACAACCATTATTTAGCTGCAGTGTGACTCTATTAAAAACTATATTATTATGTCTCTCTATTATACATGCATATTTACACTGAATACATAGTAGCGAAAATGTTAATAACGAAATTTTAATCGCTTATATGCGCTTTGCTAATCCATCCATTACAGCCTGTCAATATCCACTACTGGTTCCCACGGGATGCTATGGCCCTGGATAATATTACACCGCCACTACATATTCAGTTGTTTTATTAGTATCTAAATTTTCGATTACTCTTTAACAAATCAATTCTACAAAATGCTGAATGCAACCTTTTAAATATTGTCGGAAACTATGAATTGTGAACAATTATTGTTCGTATTTCTGTGACGTCAGAGATATTATAGTTCCTAGTGTGTCTGTGCTAAGACAGTTCTTAGTATTTTGCACAAATGGTATCTGATTCTAGTACCGAAAGTAGAAGCAAGGTTACAAATTAGATAATCAATGCATATAATAAATCTGTAGAAAATTGGGTCTGTAATTTTAATATTTTATGAAAGAAAACAAGTCTAGGGGACTAAATAAAAGGAACTGAAGCCAAATTAGTGTTTTTTAGAATTCTTGTCGGTCTGTCTGTCTGTTTGTGGATTCGAATCTCTCAAAACACATTTCTATGAACTTTTGTGTTGAGGAAGCTAGGAACCCGAGGGAACTTATAGGCTACTTTTTATCTGATTAAGGAACTTCATAAAGTAGGGTTAAGTATTTTCCTTCCTTTTATGATGTTAGTTTCTATTTTATACGTTTGATGTATTTTATTAAAATAAATAAAATATTTATAATAAAGCGTAAAATCAATGCGTTATAAATTGAACTAGGTACGCTGACAATCTACATTTCACTTTGTAAAGACTATGCCATCTAACGTAAAATATAAAAAGGAGTGACATTTTGCCTCCAGTTACTAATAAGTTAAATTATATAAATAACTAACATTTATATGACTATTTTATTTAATTCATAATTAATTTGTAAATTTTAACATATTTTTTTTTAGTTTTTATTACTTCATTTTAGTAGATGTAAATACATTTTATAGTAACCAATTACTTCTATAGATACTAGTGACATCAATCGTAAATCATAAAATTAAGGATGTTTCTGTGCTTAATTTCCAATCTATAAAAAGTTTTTGTAGGTTTTATGTGTTTTATTAGTTTTTATGTGTATAAACTGATAAAAATTGTAATTATTAAAAAAAACTCATATTATCTTACAATTTATAATGACATATAGACATACGTGTATCTTTCAAAACAATCATAAATAACCTATATAATATTACGAGTATTTATTTATTTCAGAGATTTAATTGAAGATAGGTAAAGGTATCACAGCATCCACTTATCATCAGGTGGACTACGTGATCGTGTCACCTTTATTTTATAAAAGAGTCTGGTCATGTATTATGAAATTTTAAAGCATGCGCTTATCGCCAGAGCCACCACGACTTTTTTTAAGCCAAGTAAGTATTAGAAATGCATTCCTCTCTTACGACACAATGATTTCCCCTGGCGAAACTCGGCACTTTAAGCAAACTTAATTAAAGATAGCAAACATTTAAAATAAATAGTAAGAAAATTACTGGATATGTGAAGGTTAACAGTTTAAATTTTTCCTATATTGCTTATATATTCTTTATCTATATTTATATATAGATCTATATCAAATCACTTGCATACCATCCCATCCTGCACAACTGTTTTTTTAATAACATAATGAGATTATATAACTTCATCGTAATCACTAACCAGCATAACAAAAGATTTATTCGTTGTTTGATTTATATCAGGTTTATTGTAATTACTTATCAGAATTATCTGATACAACTTAGGGACCTTCAAGAAAAGAGCTTACTCCTTTCTGAAAGTTTGGCAACGCATCTGCAATTCCCCTGGTGTTGTGGTTGATGAGGGCTCTTCTATAAAAAAGTAAAGAATTTTGTTAGGTAATTTTGCACCGACGTTAATATAATAATTATTAACTTCATTAAAATGCTACCGGAGTGGAAAGTTGTCCCAGAAAATCTATTGCCTCTAATTTAAACTTGGTAGAGTCATGCTGCAGTTATATAACTAGTATGGTTGTAGTACGAAAGGTTGGCTCGACCGGGGAGGGACCACGCTCTCGTAGAATACCTGCGTAAAATAGTAGCTTAATGTTGCTGTGTTTCGTATGGAGAGTGGACAGAACTGGAGACCCTTTTTACTGGAAACAATGCATTTCATCTTAGTCCTCACGGGTGACAACGCATCTGCATTTTGATTTCTAATCAAGGATAGATGTTAATGTCTATAGGCCACGCATCCACTTACCGTCAGGTGGACTGTGTGCTCGTTTGTCAACTTATTCTATAAAAAAAATCTATGCTTATTCAGATGTGTTGCACTTTTTACTACTTCCCATATATTTTAAAATATAGGGGAGGTAACCCATATATTTTTACTGTTATTGCCAGTTATTTGATGTTCACTGCTTTGAGACTGTATTTTAAGTTTTTTTTAGAATATCGTTACAGTAATTGTGATATCTACGATATGTTATTTTTGGAGTTTCACTATCGAGTGTCAATTTACGTTCCTTAGGGAGCTTATAACGATTTATCATGCATCTTAAGATGCCAGGAGTTATCCATGGCTTTAATGTAGCTTTACGATGGGACAGTCTAATATTTTAGTGTTGTTTTCCAGTGCTTTTGATAATGTTTCTACTAAGAAATTTACTACTTCTTCAGGATTATTATTGTCATGTATTAGACCAAAATTAATGTCTATTTTTTGAATTTTTGAAATTTTGAAATTTATTGAATTTAAGTTTGTTTTTTGGCATGAGAAGAATACGATTCTAATAAAGGTATTTGACCAGAACAAAACAGCCAACATTCAGTCTGCATAACCAGATCAAAATCTACATTCATCCTTTTTATTAGTACAGTTAGGCCATCAAAGTTTCGTTTAGTGCTTCAAATATTCTGACATAGAATGTTAGTGTAGTTGTTTGGTTGACTTATTGCTGCATACATCCTTAGGATTGCAAATATAAAATAAAAAATTCTGAATTTGTAATATCATCTAGATTATTCGATATTTCATTTATGCAAGCTCCTTTTATGTATATTTATTATTGGAGTGCGTAATGTACCCCTATCTCCCTATTTTATCAATCGTGATTGATGGAATTGATTGACGCCTGCACGAGCGCTTGATGTACGCCATAGGCGTATATGTAGGCTCAAGCGCTCATGCAGGCGTCAATCACTGCATTAGGTTAGGTGCGGTAGTTTGCGGTAGGTTATTCGTCAATCACAACCGTGTTTGTTGTAAAACTGACAGCCTGCATGAGCGTGTGTACGCCTAAGAATAGTTTTGCCAAAATGTCCGTTCAATGTCAACAGAAATATATTATACAGTACTAGGACAGCATTAAAACTAAGGATTAAATTCTTCGATGTGAACAAACAAACAAGCTTCTGTGGTGACTTTGACATGGTAAATATATAATACTAGGCGAGCAGAAAGATGAGGGGGTAAAAACAATTCGCACAGCCACCGCGTGCAGTACAAGTCTCTTGACGTTACTGTTTTCCTCGCAGCGGGTATGATAATTAGAGGTTTTCTCGCTTATTCCTTTAACTATTGTGTGCTGTTTGAGTAGTACTTATTCGTCAAAATTGATACAATCCGCCGCGTATATGCGTTAACTCGTTGTTAACAATCCTTTTACTCCTGTTTTTTATGCACTCCTATTTTTGCGTAAGGTATATTAGAACCTAATATTTTTAGTGAATTTTGTTTAACACTGGCATACGGACAGCGGTCCAGAGGGACGGTAAATAAAAATAAAGGGTAAGTTATAGAAGGGTTGGCATGTACGTATTACGAAGCCAAATTTTTGTATGCTTGGCATTTCTTGTCGTTAACTATGAATCTATTATTTTTGTAAGAATGGTCCAACCTGTTGAAATCTTCTTGAAGCTTATAGCAATCATGTAAATTATTAATTTAAAAAAAAACCTTTTTATCCTCTGTATAGAACATAAATG